AACTCCACCCTCCAGCTACCTAAGCCTAACTCACCCTAAACCCTACACCCTAAACCCTAAACCCTAAACCCTAAACCCTAAACCCTAAACCCTAACTAAAGCCTAAGCCCTCAGCCCAAGGCCTTAAGCCTCAAGCCTCAAGTCTGCAGCCCCAAGCCCTAAGCCCGGCCCGCCACAACACCCTAGAAGGCCCATCACCAAGGGTTTAGGGTTTAGGGTTCAGGGTTTAGGGTTTAGGGGTTTAAGGGTTTAAGGGTTTAAGGGTTTAAGGGTTTAAGGGTTTAAGGGTTTAAGGGTTTAGGGTCCTAAAACCTTAAACCGCCTGAAAACCCGAAACTCCAAAGCCAACAACTCTGCAGCGATTAAAAAGCAACATCCAAAGCTCTGGCCAAAAAACATGGGGTTTAGGGTTTAGGGTTTAGGGTCTAGGGTTTAGGGTTTGGGGTTTTATGGTTTCAAAGCTTGCTGGGTTACCGAGAGGTACCCTGCAAACCCTTAACCCTACGAAATCCTAAACTTCAACCCTATGCAGACTCCACAAACCGCGAAAACCCGAAGAGACCCTAGACCCTAAACCCTGAACCCTAACCTCTTAAACCCTAAGCCCTAACCCCCCCCCCCCCCCCCAAAAAAAAAAAAAAAAAAAAAAAAAAAAAAAAAAAAAAAAAAAAAAAAAAAAAAACAAAAAACAGAAGAGTAAAAGCAAAATAATATGAATAACAATAACAGTAACACAGGACACACAAAAAGTCAACACCCTCGAACATGGCAGACCGAGGCTCTGGAGGTTTGGCAATGGCTCCGAGACCAGGGCCTCAAAGCCAAGGACGTCCGATTGCGTTTGCTTTGTAGGGTTTTTAGGGTTGGGTGTTTGGGGTTTGGGGTTTAGGGTTTAGGGTTTAGGATTTGGGGCTTGGGTGTTTGTGTGTTTGGGTGTTTGGGGTTGGGTGTTTGGGGTTTGGGGTTTGTGTTTTATGGGGTTCATAGAGTGTGGGGTGCGAAAGGGTTTGTAGGGTTGTTAGGGTTTATCGGATGTGGGTTGTGATAGGCTTTATAGGGGTTATCGGGTTTGCAGGGCTTATATAGGGTTCATAGGGGATATATCGGCTGCGCGTGGTTTACAAGGTTTGGGTGTTGTGTGTGTGTGTGTTTTGGGATATTAGGGGGTTCTACCCACGTACAACAAACCATGTAAACCCCTGCACTCCTAAACTCGAAACCGGCCTAAACCCAAATAATGCCAAGCGCCTCCCGCAGGCCTCTCGGAAGCTCCTAGGAGCCTCCGCAGAAACTTCAAGTGATGGATGTACATCGTTTTTTTTGCAAGGCCAAGAACTCGAGGCGTCCGCCAGCCCCGAAACCCTAAACCCTAAACCCTAACCTTAAACCCTAAACCCCCCAAAAAATGTCGTAAGCCCCCGCCTGTAAAGGACGTCGTTGTGTCCGGCGACAGCGCAGGGGGCAACTTAGCCCTGGCCCTGCTACTGAAGCTGCAGGCCGGCATTTAGGGTTTAGGGTTTAGGGTTTAGGGTTTAGGGTTTAGGGTTTAGGGTTTAGGGTTTAGGGTTTAGGGTTTCTTGGTAGCCCGGTGGTGCTCTTTGCCCTTTTTGTGTTTCCGGGTTCCCTTATAAGGTAACCATACAAAGTAACCAGCCCAAAAAGTACCGTAATTACAAGATGGTTACTGGCAGGGGTTATAAGGTTTATAGCAATTACAGGGCTTATAACACATATATTGTAGGGCTTGCAGGACTTCAGGGCATATGGGGCTTTAGGGCTAATATGGGCCGGGTCTTGCGGTTTGAGGGCTTCTGGGGTCTTAGGGGCTTATGGGGCTTATGGGGCTTCACTGCATGTTTTTGGGTTGAAAGGTGGAGAGTTGGGAGATGTAAGGCCCCCTTAGACTACCCAAAGGCTCCAATGTAGTTCCTTTTTGGGTTAGTTATAGGGGATTCTGATATACTACCCCCCAAAAAGGTACTACATAGGAGCCTTTGGGTAAACCCCATGATGGCGTTCGCAGGCCATCGGGGCTGAAATGCCTGCTGGTGCGGTCACTGGGCTACGCTGTGGATGCCACACCTGTGAGATTGAGGGCTGCAAGAGCCCAAAGCCATAATCCCTTTAGCCTAAGCCCTAAGCCCTTATCCAGCTGAAAAGCGTTACAAAGGAAAAGCCAACGTCCCAAAATTCACCAAATTCAGCGCCTATGCTGATGCAAACTCCCGGCAGCTGGGGTCTGTAGTTCGGATACCCTAAACCCTAAACCCCCAACCCTAAAAGCCTAAACCCTAAACCCTAAACCCTAAACCCTAAACCCTAAACCCTAAACCCTAAACCCTAAACCCTAAACCCTATAAACCCTAAACCCTAAACCTCAGCATTTTAGGTGCTCCTGAGCCCATGGGTCGAGATGCTGCCTTTCAACTCCAAGTCCTGGACGCACAACGCAGCCTACGACTACATCGGTACCTCGATCCGTTTAGGGTTTAGGGTTTAGGGTTTAGGGTTTAGGGTTTAGGGTTTGGGGTTTGGGGTTGAGGGTTTAGGGTTTAGGGTTTAGGGATCATATTGCCCAACGTCTATAATCTTCTAATCTCACGACTACGTCGGCGCCTTTGTCGGATGGCTGGGCCTGCTTTGAGTTCGAGGGGTGTGCAGTATTCAGGCTTCCTGTGTGCTATGGCAAATAGCACCGTCTCGTACCCTTATTGTGGGAGGTAGGTTCACGCTCCTTCCTTTATAGAACCCCAACAGCTCATAGTGTTCTGCTAATTGTCCGTAAGCCCTAAGCCGTACACCACAAATAGCAAGCGGTGTGCCAGGGGCTTGCATCAGGAGTAGGAGTGGGTGGCCGGTATAAGACAATCTGAGAGTGCGAGGGCAGTAATACTAATATAAACAAATCAAAATACGAAGAACTGTATGATGTCGTATAATGATATGTTACAGTAGTGATTTGTAATAGAATTCACAATAGTACAGTGAGTTTCTTGCATCAGTGGACTGCAGGCCAGAAAGCCATGATGGAGGAGTTTGTCGCGCTGTATACTGCAGGCCGGCGGAAAACAACAAGTCACCTTAAGTATCCGACACCCTAAACCCTAAACCCAAAGACCCTAAACCCTAAACCCTAAGCCCTAAACCCTAAACCCTAAACCCTAAACCCTAAACCCTACCATGCCAGATCCAGTCTCGCGTCCCAACCGGAGCACGGCTTTCATGAAAGCAGCGACCTCTCTCCACGCCCACACCCACGCACCCACACACCCGCCCGCCCTCCCACCCACCCGCTTCGTTAGTCACCCCTTGGTCACCCGTTCGTCCCCTGTTGGTCAACCCCTACACTCACCCTAAACCCTAAACCCTAAACCCTAAACCCTAAACCCTAAACCCCTAAATCCCAAAAGCCTCGCAGCAATGGCCCGTTGGCGCGCAGGTGCAGACCATGATGATCCCCTGGTGGCTCCCCTCCACGCCAGCTTGGAGGCAAGGGGTTTAGGGCTTCAGGTTCAAGGAGATAGGGTTTCGGGTTTAGGGTTTAGGGTTTAGGGTTTCGGGCTTAGGGTTTAGGGTTTGGGGTTATTACAGGAGCTACCCAACATCCATGAGGTGAAAAAGTTTTGTTCAGCCTCGATATGATAGCCCTGAACCCGAAACCCTAAACCACAAAACCTTAAAAACCCCAATTCGTTTCCCCGAGTCGACGTCCTGGCTTTGGTGATGCCCCCCCCCCCCCTCCCTCCCAAAGGCTTTTAGGGCATTCAGGGTTTAGGGTTTAGGGCTGAGGGTTTTGGGTTTTTTGGGTTTAGGGTAGTCTTAGTCTCTCAAACATAAACCACGGTGCACGAAAGGATCGCCACCGGGAGCCGTTTAGCAGTCTCGAAGTCTCAAAATCCTCCACAAGGCAGTTGTAGGTCCTTCGCGTATTTCTGCCTTGGTTCTCGGACTCCGGCAACGTGAACACCTTAAGACCCAAACGTGAAGTTCCTAGCAAGCCAATCCATGAACCCTAAACCCTAAACCCTAAACCCGAATAAACCCTAAACCCTAAAGCCTCCTCCTTGTGCTGCCCATGAGGAGCTCGCGACTTTGCCTCCGCCACTGTGCATGCAGATTTCGCAAGCCGTTATAACCCCCCCCCCCAAAAAAAAAAAAACAGACGAACAACAAAAATCGCTAAACTCCTTTATCTCGAATGCCAAACCCTAAACCCCAAACTCGTAAACCCAAACCATAAACCCTAAACCTTAAACCCCCGCAAGCTCGCATTTAACCTAAGCAAGCTCGCATTTAACCTAAGGCTGTGACAGCTTCAGGCAAGAAGCTTCCCTTTCTTGAAGTGTCATTCACAGTGGCCGAGCTGGTTTACGGTTCAGGGTTTATATCTCGAACCCCCAAACCCTAAACCCTAAACCCTGAACCCTAAACCCTAAACCCTGAACCCTAAACTCCCGGAACTCTGAACGTAAAGTCTTGTATTCACGAGCCTGGCCCTGAACCCCGAAAAACACGACTGATGAGCCCAATCCCTTTGAAACATGTAGCTGTGTAGGTAAGGCATTAGGGCCTTAGGGTTTAGGGTTTAGGATTTAGGGTTTAGGGTTTAGGGTTACCCTTAACCTTTTGGTGGTAGCATCCTACCAGAATTGAAAGGTGAACCTTTTGTTGGCCAAGGGTGCTCAGCAGCTAGGGAAATATGGTGCTCAGGTTTTGGATCTTGTGGAAATGACCGGGTTTAGGGTTTAGGGTTTCGGGTTTAGGGTTTAGGGTTTAGGGTTTAGGGACCTTTCAGTCCTTAAGTGGGTGGAATATGGGGCTGTGAAGGGGCGAATCTATCTACTTGAGGAGGAGTGTCCAACCACAAGGCCTTGAGAACCAACAAATCAACAAGCTTAGGGTTTAAGCTTAGGGTTTAGGGTTTAGGGTTTAGGGTTTAGGGCTTAGGGTTCAGGGTGAAGGATCAGCCCGAAACCCCAAACCCCTCAACCCTAAGCATCTGAAACCCCTAAACCCTACAGCAGCCTACAGACGAGGACCTTCCAAACCCCCTAAACCCCCAAAGTCTAAATCCTAAACCCCTAAGCTCCTAAGCCCCTAAACCCCTAAACCAAGAAAACCCTAAAACCTAAACCCTAAACCCTAAACCCTGAACCCCAAGCCATATAAGGCTTTGGATCTCTGTGGGCGGCGGCGAGCTCCTCCGCTCCTCCATCGAAGGCCTGAGTGCCTCTCAGTTTAGGGTTTAGGGTTTAGGGTTTAGGGTTTAGGGTTTCGGGTTTCCGGTTTCGAGTTCAGGGTTTAGGGTTTGGAGGTTCGGGCTAGGGGTGATCTTTTCAAGATTCAAGGTTCAGGGTGTGAGGTTCGAGCTCTTTATGGTTCGGGGTTTAGGGCAAACCCTAAACCCTAAACCCTAAACCCTAAACCGAGGGCCAGTTCTTTCGGCTTGAGCGCAAGGGTTGAGTGCTTTCGGGGTCCGCTTCTTCTTTCAGGGTTTCGAGGATCAATGCATTGTGTAAGAAGTAGCCCTAAACCCTAAACCCTAAACCCTAAACCCTAAGCCTTCAACCCTAAACCCCGAGTTCAAGGTCTCTACAGCCCCACGCCCACAACACAGAACCTCTCAAAACCCGGATACCTTATCTAAACCCACACCCTAAATCTTAAAATCCCCCAAATGCCCCAAGCCCCAAAACCTGAAACCTAGAACCCAACAAAAACCACACCCGAAACCTCCGCCCCCCCCCCCCCCCCCCCAGAAAAAAAAAAAAAGCTACACGCCCCAAAACACCCTAAACTTAAACCTAAGCCCTAAGCCCTACACCTTAAACCCTAAACCTTAAACCCTGAACCCAAAAGCCTTCGTGGCAGGGTTCGCCTTCCGAGTCATCCAAGCCAGCGCTGACGTGCACCTCTACGTCGGTCCAGGTGCCCCGCCTCATTCGAAGCCGGGTTCAGGGGGTTCAGGGGGTTTAGGGTTTAGGGTCTGGGGTTTAGGGTCTAGGGTTAGGGTTTAGGGTTTAGGGTTTAGGGTTTAGGGCGACAGCTTGTAGTCCTGCACCCTAAATCCTGAACCCTAACGAGTCGGGACCCTCCATAAGCTGCAGCTTGAGCTGCAGGCCCGCTCATACGCCACAGAGACAGCAAACTGTGAGTCCTGTGCATACCCTGAAGTACTGGCTCTGTTTGTGAGGTAGGAAGCTGCCTTACAGGGACTGCACGCTGCTAGTCCCGCAGTTTCAATCATTAGCCTTCTTCCAGCAAAACGCAAAAGAGGGTTTACGAAAATGGGGGGGGGGGGGGGGCCCCAATATAGACCCCCAAGTAGTAGGATCCCCTTGTTGTAAGGACCCCAATAAGGTACCCCTAAATTGGTAAACCCCCCAAAGAGTACCCTCTTGTTTGTTCCTTCTGGGGTACTTTGGGACCTAGTCAGGCATGCCGCACGTTTACCAGTGCCTCGGCGGCACCTCCGCGACGGAATCGCCGTGAGCTCTTATATACATATATATATATATGTAAATATATGTTTGTTTGTTTTATTTACTTATGTCTTTGTTTTTTTTGATATTTTTTATATGTATGCATTCATTCATTTATTTACTAATCGTTGCTATTTTTCGCGGTGTTCTTACCTACACATATATATATACATATATATTTATTTATGCATGTTTTCACACATTTGGGGTTCATCTGCTTTGTATCTATGCCCGACTGCATTGGTAAGTTGTGACTTCCTAAACCTTCACATCGAACACTTTGAGAACCACAAAGAGCTATGAGCCCTTAACATGGTTCTCGCTAATGTGGTCCCTTACCTCCGTTAAAGGGTTCTGAAGTATGGGGGGTCTTGGGCTTTTGAGGGGTATATAAGGGGTCCCCTTTTAAGGGCCCAGACTAAGGGACCATACAACTGCCGTGAGATTCATGGTTTCCTTGAGTCGCGAACGCTTATTTGCGAACGCTTATTTGGCGGCCAGAGTGGGTGCCCTGGGCAATGACTTCTGTGCCCAGCATACCCTGTGACCAACCATGTGCATTCCTTTGTCATAGTTGGGTAACATTTTACATTCTTCAGGGTACTTAAACCCAAAAAGGAATAAACAGTTGTTTTTTTTAATACATTCTGCCAGACCTAAGAAGGCAGAAGCCTAGTCTCCAGCCCCTCCTACACCCCATAAGCCCCCTGAACCCTCAACCCTCAACCCTCAACCCTCAACCCTCAACCCTCAACCCTCAACCCTAAACCCTAAGCCCTAAACCCTAAACCCTAAACCCTAAACCCTAAACCGTAACCCCCTCGCCAAAAGAAGAAGAAGAAGAAAAAGAAGACGAAGAAGAAGACGAAGAAGAAGAAGCGTTAGCTTCGACTGTTCCCCAGCCTCCCAATTAATGTAGGTGCCGTAGCTTCGAGGGCGAGGCAAGTCCCATAAACAAGATGTGTGTTGCGGGGGCTTGCCCCTACCAAGATCCAACCAGTAGATGCCCTTGTAGAAC